ATAACTTTCCGGCTTAAGGAAGTCAATACGAGACTAATCTCCAACGATTTCCTTTCCCGCTCTTATTTATTTACTTTTACTGTTTTGATTCTGTTTTTATTCGATTCAGAATGCACTGGAGGAAAGGGAAGAATAATCCGACAATATTGGGAGGGGAGGGGGGGGGGAGGTATTCCGTGTCTTGTGTTGATGTTATTTTCCCATTAACTAAACAATCATGCCGATATTTTCGCCTTTCCCCTCTTTTTTTTTATGATGTTTGGTAGGGCTTTGACAGGAAACGTGAAGCGAACAAAAGGAACGAACATGCTGAACGCGGCCGAGCTAAACGCCGTGGTGCAAAGTGGGGTGGGGGATGGCGTGCAGCTTGCGATTTTGCTGGAGACCAACGGCACCGTCCTCAGCTCCGCCTTTGCGTGCTCGAAGAAGGAGCGCGAGGAGGCCTACGCGCGGGTGGTGGCCGCCGCGATAAACATCTGGCGATTGTACGGGCGGAACGACCTCACCATCAACCAAATCTCCCTCGAGGAGGAGTCCAACGCGCTGGAGCAGGTGTTGATGGATTGGGGGGAGCAGAAACTCTGCGCGATGGCGGTGGCCGACAAGGCGATTATTTGTTTGCTCGCCAACGACGCCGCGGTGCAGGTCGGGCGGCTGAAGGTCAAAACCATGCAGCTCCAGCGCGAGTTGGACGCCATTTTACGCCCGGTTATGGTGGAATCCCGAACCTAACCACGCGTCCTCGCGGGATTGACCGGCCAACCCGCCCATCCAATTATAGATGGAGGTCGTTTTATACATGGGGCTGTGTGGGGTTTCATCATTGGTGCACTTGCGGTGGGAAGAAGGGGGAGGATTTGAAGGGGTTGCCTGCGTTGCCAGAGTGCGGGACTCCCAACTTTTTGCACGCATCAAAAGCAATAGGAAAAAAAACTACAATTTTTGTCTGCGAATTTAAAAAAAAAAAAACATGACAACTGGCGTTCCGTTCTATTTTCACCACACTTTCGAACACTTTGGGTTATTATCTTCACTCTCCTTCCTTTTTGGGGGTTTGGCCTCGCCACGGACGGGGTGAAGCGGGC